TATGAGATGCTGCCACGTGCCATGTGCTTGGCCTGGTGCCAGGAGGAGACAGTAGGATGATTTGGCTGGAATGTGGAGTGTGTGGGGCAGGAGATAATTGGAGTGAAGTTGGGGAGGTGAGTTGTACCACAGGTAACAGATTTTTCTGGAACTGGTAAAAAAAGCCTGCCCAAAAGAGTCCAAGAGAAGCCACCGAAGGTTTTCAAGCAAATAAGTGTTGGGGTCCAATTTAGTTTTAACTAAGAAAAATCTCAATGAGCAGATGCAGAATGATTCATGAGATACATTGTTAAGCGAAAAAAACAATGTACAAAAGACTGTCTTGAGTGTAATAAAGAAGGGGAAATAAAAGTATATCCAATAATCTCTTCATTGGTGCAAAAATAAACAGGAAAGATAAACTCGAAACTAGAGGGGATGAGTGGGAATAAGATGGAAAAGAGAGGGATGGGCACAGAGTAAAAGGAATGGGGGCAGCCAGTCCTCTCTGAAGAAACCATATTAAAAAAAGAATCTTTGGGAATGGAGGGGAAAACTCTAGAGTGAAATACAAACAGAAATGAATAGAAGTGTGAAAGAACGGATCTAAGTAACTTTTGCAAATAGGACTTGGAAGACGTGCTTTGTTGGCTAAAAACAAAAGAACTGTTAACAAATCTCCAACTCTTTTTTGTTTTCACAGAGTTGTGGCTAGCAATTCTGAAACTCCTTTCTGTGTATTTAAGGATTGAGTAAATAAATATATTGTAGACAATGGAAATGAAGTTTGTTGGGGAACAGAGCTGAAAAATATGGAATGAGAAGTCTAGAGTTGACATAGTAATATTGGACTATGGCTGGAGGTCTGAGTATGAACTTGGCGTTTTTTACATGAACAGATGGCTGGGTAGACAGCCAGCCAGCCAGAGATGAGATGTGTGTGTATACCTGCATGTATTTCCAGGCCCTGATAAAGTCTAGAAGCTACAACACCCCAGTAGCATTGCACATACCTAGTGCCCAAAACTCGATTTCAAATACTATTCTCCAGCAAAAGGAATATGTGCTTTGGAGAAATGACTGATTTCAGGACAACTGAGGAAGTGCAGGCTGAGACTGAAACATTTTGTAGTACTAGAAAATAAAGATGTACTCAAAGAATGACGGGGAGGTGTCTGAAGAACAAGAAATCAACTTGAATGAGCTTCCACTGGCCAAATCTGGGACAATTCCAATCAAAACAAGAATGATAATGATGGATTATAATCCCCTGAATAAAATAAGAATCCGTTAATATAAATAAATATATATCTAATATGTAAACATAATATACATTCGTACTTATTTATATAGATATTTACATATGTATTTATAGTTTATATATATATAGCATTTATAATATAAAAAGTATAAGTAAACTGATATAAAGAAATGAAGAGAAAGCTCTTCCTTACAGTAGAATCCAAACTAATAAATACAGAGGGAGTGACCGAATTAGAAATTCTCTTTCATAATAATAATTAATCCAGGGATGCCACCGAGGTGGCTTATTCGACTAAGCATCTAACTCTTGATTTGGCGCAAGTTGTAATCTCAGGGTCGTGGCATAGAGGTCTGCACTGGATTCAGCCCTGGGTGTGGGGGCTGTTTAAGATTCTCCCTCTCCCTCTCCCTCTGCACCCTTCCCCACTTGCGCACTCTCCCTTTCCCTAAAAAACAAATAAAATAATAAAATAATTAATCCAGGCAAGAATCATCAATGGATGCTAAAACTCGTGGATAAAGTCTGGTGAGCAATTATAAAATTGCAGCAGCTTGGAGCAGAAGATCAAGTTCGGAAATCTGCCGCACAGCACAAAGACTTTGCACCCGACTGCCATCAGCTGATCGCTTAAGTCATATTGCTAAGTGCTGTATTTGCAATTAGGATGATAATGATGATTACTTATTGAGTGCCACTGCATATTAGGCATTATGTTAGGTGAGGTTTTGGGGTTCTCTTTTTGGTTTTTGCATATATTAACTCACTCCTAGCACTAGCTCAGTGAGATTTTTATTAGTATCCCCATTTTTGAAGGGAAGAAACCAAGAATCAAGAAACACAAAATTTGTCTAATGTCAAATAGCAAATAGGAGGTAGAGCACATTTCAAACCCCTATCTTCTGACTTGGAGTTCCTCTCAGGCAATGCATCTCTCTGTCCCCTCTGCCCTCCCTCCGTGTTTCTGGAAGTTTGCAGAATGATACGGCCAAAGAGTCATGCTTAAAAGCTTGGAGGCTCCTTCTTTCTCTGCACCATATTTACAGAACACCTTGCCTCATTTTTCTCATAAAAATAGGGAAGGCAATGCTGACCGTACATGTTCATTGGGAGGACAAATGGGCTTATCTCTGTAAAGCTTGTAGGGTACAGTAAGTCTTCTCCAAATGATAGCCACAGCCATAGTAACATCGGTGGTAATGTTGAATTCCCTGGTATGATGGAAAATGTTGCTAAAGGTCACCCCTCACTTTTGGACTGAATTGATCATCAGAGGGTGGATCTTAAAGAGCTTTGTGTATCATAAAAAGAAGATTACATTTTATTCTGTAGGCCATAGAAAACCACTGAAGAATTTCATTGCCGGGAGAGATGTGGACTAGTTGGCCATTTAGAGCAGACAGACCCAGGGCAGGAAAGTAAAAGGCAAGGCAGGGAGCCCATCGGGACACCGTTGGTAGAGACTGGGAGTGAGACGATGAGGGTCTGAGCTGATGAAGCTGGCATGACAGAGGAGGGGACACACAATGGACAGTCACTCTGGAGAGCGGCACCTGTCTTTGGCAGGAGAGGAAGGGGAAACAGCTGAGGCTGAGCCTTGGGCTTCTGGCCTGCGTCCTCGCCTATCTCAGGGTGCGACCAGAATGTAGAGGAGGGGCAGGTTGGGGCCCTGGGAACGTGCTGATTGGGGGTGGTCTGGGACACACAGAGGAGTCACAGCAGACAGTTGGATATTCAGCTCTGGACTGAGGAAAGAATTCAGGGCTTGGGGGCAGCGGGCCTGGGGTCACTGAAGCTGTGGCAGTAGGCCCCTCAGGGAAGGAATATGGAGCCAGGAGAGAGCCAAGGTTGGGATTTGGGAAATGCCAGTATTTAATGATGGCCAAAGAAGTGGAAGGAGACAGAGGGGGAACACTCCAAAAGATAAGATTATTTCCAGGGGACGGTTTCCTGCCTGGCAGAGGTGGCAGAGAGAAGCAAATGAAGCAAGGAAGGCCTGAAGATGCCTACTAGATTTGACAGTTGTGTCCCAGGGACCCTGGGGAGAGCAGGTACCAAGGAGCAGAATCCAGATGGGCAGTGGATTAGGGAGAGAATTGAACATTTTAAGAAGAGAAACTGGAACTTGCGCTCCTGGGGATGCAGACACCTCACCCCCTTGCCATGCATTCCCACCTGCTGGCGGAGAGCTCTGATTGTGGAAGGTCCTCCTTCCAGAGCCAGAGTCTCCTTCCCACCTCTTCCCTTAAGCTTCTGGCCTATCCTTGAGGTCCACACCAACCAAGTCCACGAGCTCCCCCAGATAGCTGCACAAACCCGCCTCCTCACCAGGTGGTCTCATCCAGCCCCTCCACCGTCCCTCATAGGCTCCAGGCTTCCAGACTTAACTTGATGTCTGACCCCCCAGTGTAGATCCTGTTTTATGAAAATCAAGCTTCTTTGGTAACATCGGTCTGTATTTCTCTCCCTATTAGGCTGGTGGCTTTCCAACATTTTTTTTTAAACCTCAACCCAGAATAAGAAATACATTTTTACATTATGATCAATAAACACGTATTATGAAAGGAGATGTGCTCTTATTTTCGACTCCATTTCATACCATCCCACTCTATCCTATTCTATTTGGTGCTTTTTTTTTTTTTTTTAAGATTTCATTTATTTATTTGACAGACAGAAATCACAAGTAGGCAGAGAGGCAGGCAGAGAGAGAGGAGGAAGCAGGCTCCCTGCCCAGCAGACAGCCCGATTCGGGGCTCGATCCCAGGACCCCAGTATCATGACCAGAGCCGAAGGCAGAGGCTTTAACCCACTGAGCCACCCAGGTGCCCCTATTGGTGTTTTTAAATGCTGGCCTTGACCCACCACATCAGTTTCAGAACTCGCTCAGTGAACTTCATGACTGAGGGTATGACTGACTGCCAGAGCTCACCGTGCTAGGAGGGGCTCCACAGAAAAGATGCTAAGCTTCTTCTGTCTGAATCCATCCCCTTTCCCTCCCACAAGTTCCCCTGCACTGGGGAGGACAGGTCTTTCCTCCAATCACCTTCGTAGAAAACCACCTCAGTCACTGGGATGTTAGCCAGCCTTGGGGGTATTTAGATGTCCAAAGTAATGGTGGAATTTAGAAATCCATGGAGGAGAGACTGGCTTAGCTTTCAAATCACAGCAGATAAGTACTGCCCCTACTTAACTCATGAGGCATCTGATAGCCTGAGGCATTTTCACACCTTGAGGATGCCCTCAGGTGGTCCTACTACACCTTTCCTGTGAGACATGTAAAATTTCCTGAGTGGTAGAGTGTGAGTACCAATTCAGACAGGCACCCAACTGGAATTGTGCTGGTCTGGTCCGTACGTCCTCTACAGACTTCCCTGAGGAGACCCCTACGCACACCCTGGGAACCACTACCTCCTGTAGGTCTTTCCCCAGAGAACAGTTGGGGATTTCTTATGTAAGAAAGGGTGACTTACGAATTCTAACCCTCCCATACACAATGTCTTTTCTAATTCTGCCCAGGAGGAGACAGGATTTCTGACGACCTTGACTACAGATAGAAGCATGCTGTTGGAGCACTAGCACAGGCCTTCTCGCATCTGCTGAAAGGGGCCCACCACCGCCAGTGACCTGCGGGTCCTCAGAGTCTTCCAAAGGACCAGTCCATCACCTGCCTGCAATGAGCCAGGCCCTGGGCTGGGCCTCAGCTTCACCCTGGTGACCAAAACTCCATCGCCGGCCTCAAGCACTCACACCCAGCTTAAAGATGAGTGAAGAACGGTGGGTCTCCCTCACGCCGGAAGAATTTGACCAACTCCAGAAATATTCAGAGTGTGAGTAAATGGATTGACCCACCTGGGGCAGGATTTCTTCTTGGGTGGGGGAGAACATTTCTGGAGAGAGCCCAGTGGTGTAATTGTTGCAAAGCCACAGAGAATGAGGTTGGGACAGGTTATATTTCCTTATAAACACAGAACCAGTGTCCTTAAACATAAAAACAATTATCTTTACACTCTATAAATGATACCCACTCACCATAGAAATTTGGAATATACAAGGGAAAAAATAAAGAATAGGTTGAAAATCACAGCCAAACTCACGAACATTTTGGAGCACTGCCCTCCTGTGCTTATTGTGTTATGTGGTTGATTTCCTGAGTATACGGTGCCTTTTTTTTTTTTTTTTTTAGTCTACATTTTCTGCCTAACATAATATGGTATTTTGTCAAGTCATTAACACCTGTTATTATAACATAATTTTTGAAAGGCTGAAGGCTGCATAGTATAAGGTTACTCAGTCACTGGCTTTAGTATACTCTTGTGTTTGGACCCAGGGCCTTTTTTCAGTAAGATATAGAATTCTGATGTGTGTCTCTTTCTTGACTTTGTTCTGAATAAGCCTGACCTTTCAATGGGGGCTCTTGGTTTCCTGGTGGTTATACCCAGGAACAATTGCAGTGCATCAGCACACACTGATGACAAGGCCAGTGTTCCCATGGGGGCACAACAGCTGGGCCCTCCCTAGGCTACTCCTAATCCTGACAAGATGGGAATTTTCCTGGGCTGGAACTCCACTGGACCACTGCCCTCGGCACACGCGGTGACCATAGTGTTTGTGCAGTGACCCCAGCATTTTACAAGAGCCCTTTGCTGGGCAGACCTCTCCGTGGCATGCCTGCCCTGTCCTTTGTTCTAATCACCTCTCCCTTCCTGTTAATTATACTGGCGCTTTTGTAAATCACTAGGCTTCTGGCAAGTTGACCTGCCCTACAAAGCTTGCCCAGGGAGCTCTTGTGTGCCCTTTTGGCAGCCTGCCCTGCTCCCACGGGGCCAGCAGCTCTTGTCCACAGTACTGGTCTGGGAATCTAATGATTGGGTTCCAGTACCACCTGCGGCTCTTGCTCTCTGTTGATGTGACAGCCTCGAGCCCTCCAGAGCCTCTGTCCTCTTCTGCATGATGAAAGAGTTGGACTAGATGATCTCTTCCTGTGATTCCTCCCAAACCTGACACTCATGACGCTGTGCTCCTCCCAGTCAACCAGAAACCCCCATGGGACTTCTGGTCAGTTTCCCTCTTGGATCCCTAAAGCCCATGGCCTCCTGTCTGACCTGGATGGGCTTAGAGAGACTCTATAATGTATTGACAAGGAGCAAGGTGTCATCTTCTGGGGTAAATTGCATGTAGTTCAACACACTCATCCAAGTACTGGGCCCTGTCAGGGATGAAAAGGAAGCACAAAGAAAAGGTTTGCTCTTGAGGAATCAGAATCTGGTTTGGGAATCAGAAATGTGTTGATAACACAAGCAAAGAGCAGGTTAAGGCAGCAGGCAAATACCTCTGGCAGAGCTATCTAAACTGAGCACATAAGGGAGAAGGGAATTGAAAGCTAAGGGAAATTGGTATGGGGGAGTATATTAGTTTGCTAGGTTCCTGTGACAAAGTACTCACAATCTGGTTGGCTTAGAACCACAGTAAGTATCTAATGGTTCTGGAGGTTAGAAGTGCAAAGTCAAGATATCAGCAGGGTTGGTTCCTCCTGAGGATTGTAAGGGAAGAATGTGTTCTAGGCTTCTGTTCTTGGCTTGTAGATGGCTGCCTTCTCCCTGTCTCTCCATGACATTCTCCCTAAGTGTGTGTGTGTGTGTGTGTGTGTGTGTGTGTGTGTGTCCATATCCAGATTTCCCTTTTTATATGGACACAGTCATATTGGATTAGACCCACCCTATTCCAGTATGACTTTATCTTAACTAGCTACATCAGTAAGGATCCTATTTCCCAATAAGGTCATAGTCTGAGGCACTGGGGCCGGGGTCAAGTCTTCGACATATGATTCTGTGCGGGAGGGGATACAATTTACCCCACAACAGAGGATTCAGCTGGGAGGACCTCTATGGAGGACAGAAGTGTGAAATGTGAGTACTATGTAGATAGTGGGGGAGGGCGAGAAACAACAGAAACAAAGGGAGAGAGGCACAGAGAGGGTTGTGTATGGGTGGTGAGGAGAACCTATGGGCTCTGTGGAGAGAGGGAGAGGAGGGTGGGTTTAGTAGGAGGCCTTGGGTCAAAGCATGGCTTGGGACCAAGGTGGCTGAGTTCAGGGCCATGGATCTGGTGGCCTGAATATAGAAGCTGCTAGATAAGGGAGGTAGAGCAGGGTCCGTGGGATGAAATCTAGTCTGAGCTGAGTATCAGGGCTAGGGAGGACTGTGGCAATGAACAAATGCTGACCTATGGAAACCTGTGCTGGAAGAACGAATGGAAGCCAGCAGAGATAATCCCTGGAGGCTGTGGACCCAGGGCAGATGCTGACATTATTATTTAAGGCTGGTGGGGACAGTTTGGCAAGGTTGATTTGGGGATAGTGATGACATCTCCCCTTCTATATTCAGACACTCCAGGTTCCAGGGAACCAGCAATGAGGGACATGCAAGCCCTGCCCTCAAGGAGCTCCCCACCTAGTAGGGAGATATAGCTGGGACTCAAACGATGATGCTCCGTATGACAGGTGCTAAGGAGTGGGGAGCACCGAGGAGGAGACCTCGCCTAGCCTGGTTGGAGGCTTCCTGACACAGGGCTGGTTTCCAGATGCCGGAAACACTAGGAGGAGGGAGTAGGGGAGAGCACTGCAGGCAGAGGGAGTAGTTGGGAAGGCAGGGAAGAGTGGTCATCATGGTACTGCAAGCATGTCACAGAGTCGGAGCCTAGGACCCGTGGTGGTGGTGGTAAGAAAGGATTGGGGGCAAGAATGATAAATAAGTGCCCATTGTGGAGGACACTGCTTTGCAAGTGAGGTTTCCTATGGGCCTGGGAGGACTGGTGATGGGAAGAGAGTGGGAAGGAGAGCTAGGCTCCAGCTCTGACATGGGAATCATTGTGTGGAGGCAGCAAGGAGGGGATGACAACAAGAATGAAAGCACTTCAGATAGCAAGCACATGAGGGCTAAGGGTCTGCCTGCAGCCTCCGGTCAGAGAAGGGAAAGGAGTCAGAAGAAGACAGAAGAACCTGCAAGATGGCCTGGCAAAAAGAGTAGTGGGTAAAGGGAGCAGAGGAACAGAGGGGTCCACATGTGGCAAAGCAGTACAGGAGGCAGGGGTCAAAAAGAAACCAGAGTATTTACTAGGAAGGGGTTCCTTTGTGGCTTGGGTCTTTTTTTCAACCATCAGCTTTGTCCTTTTCTGACCCCTCCTCATCTTGTTTGTGTCCCGGGACTGAACAAGGTTCCCGGGACTGGACAAGGTGCCCTGGAGCTGTTATTGTAACAGGAGAGGGAAAAAAGCTACAGTTCTTGGAAAATGGTTAATCCTCAGAGGAAACCCTGGAAAAGGCACTTCTACCAATTTTAGACACATGCTGGTATTCAGTCAGATTGCATTACCATAGCAACTGCTCTTCCGTAACTACATAAACAGGAGCTTCTTGGTAGTGGAATAGCCAAAGTGTATAGCCCAAGAATGGGGAACTTTCCCCAGGGGGGTTACCAGGTAGGAGGGGCCAAGAATTTCAGGATAAGAGGCTCTCGGTGTATTCTGTTTATATAACAAAACCCCTATACCTTCCTGGTGGCCTTCTGCTGTTGGGGGGAGGCCATGTTAAAATTGCCCTTGGAGATGGGGAGATAAGTATTTTATATGCTCACACACACAGAGTTGATACGTTTCTATCTGGTAAGCTTAATGTGATTCAGTAAAATGCTTTTAAAAAACATACTGTGATATTAAGAATATTTTTGTCACAAAATAAAAACAAGTATAAAAATGAAAACAGATGAAATGTAAAGCTACCCACGATCCTGTCTCCCAGTGATAACCACTACGTGCGTCTGCATGAGCATGTGTGTAAAATAGACACGTGAGGCTATTTCGTATGCTGTTCTCCTCACCCTAACAATTATCTGTTCAATCCAGTTATCTACTGCTGCATCAAAACAACTTTAGCCTCGTGCATTATAACAGCCATTTTGTTTTTTCCCGTGATTCTGTTGCTTGGGAATCTGGACGGGGCCCAGCGGGGATGGCTGGGCTCTGCGGTGTGTGGGGCTTCAGGTGGGATGCCTCACAGGGTCCAGCAGGCTTACTCACTGCCATGCTGTTACCTCAGCGTTCCTCCATGGGATTGCTTTCTCCCTAAGTGCTTTGTCATCTCCCAGGGCCTCTCCACGTGGCCTTTTTCTCCAGCCGGCTAGCCTGGACTTCTTACATGTGGCCCCGGACTCCCAAGAGCATAAAAGCAGGCCTTTTTAACATCTGGACTCTGAGGTCCCTAAACAGAACTGTCTCCACATTCCACTGGGCTGGCCCAGATGCAACGGGTGAGAGGATGAACTGAGCTTCTCATGGGAGAGCAGCTCACACAGGGCGCAGGGAGACTGTGGACAGTGCTCTTTGGAGACTAGCTGGCACACAGTATATCATGAGGTGTTCCTGTGTTGTTCAGTACTTTCCAGAAGCAAGACTTCTAGGGGCTGGGAAGATTTCTTTTGATACATTATCTTATTTAACCAAACAACTGATTGTGATCATCGGATGTATTAATAGTCTCACAGTATGTCACAAGGCAAACTGGTACCCACATTCTGTCTACCCTGATCCGATTCCTTTGAGAGCTGAATTCGTCCCTAGGCACCACAGTGTACGATGGATAGGGACAAACCGGGAGGTGTTTGAGAAGTGCGGCCAGTATGGTGAGGGGCCTTACAGCAGGGTTATGAAAAAGTGCCTGCGAGTACTATGGCTGTTTGCAGGAGAAGGGAGGATTCAAATAATTAAATAAATAAAAAGTGCTGTTGGGGGAGGAGGTGTGTAGTTAATTTTGAATGGTTTCCAGAAGTAGCCC